GACAAACACATGGTCAGGATATAAGTGGTGGAACTAGGCCAGGGACAGCCGCTCAGCAAACCATATCAGCTGAGGGCCCTGTTGCAATCAATACACTGTACAGCTGCACATATGAAGCTAATCCTATGTGAGTTTTTGTTAATGCTCAGCTCCCTCCAGTTAATCGCAGTCAATACAGGATAAAATGAAAGATGTGGCAACACGACTGGTGACGTTCTGACTGGCTGGTGGTTTTCATCACTTTTCTTCCTCCCTGTCAACTTCCAGTCATTCATGTCGCGTGCCAGCCCACTAATGCACATACTAAGTCTACTCTTGACTCCAAAGCTGCAGGGGAGATCTATTTATAGAGCGCTCTGCTATGCACTGAGCCTCTAGCATGTTGTATAGTTACACAGGGTAGGTAGCGGATGTGAACTGGTGCTTTTTCCCCCTATGGTCCCAGACCTGTAGTGACTAATGGGCTGCGTATCAGCCATCATTAGCTTCATCTCAGACATTTCTACATTTGACTGTATAATACGCACAAAAATATAGTGTGTGAGTGTGCGTAGTGAGTGTGTGAGCTTCTGTCAAACAGATGTGTTTCTTAGTGCCTGAAATGGGCCGGTACTCAGCGTTACTGAGTACCAGCACTTCTCATTCTTGCCCATATAGTACCCTTTCTTAATTGTGGTTACCGCCACCACTGGTGAGCATGGCTGTACCCACCACCGAGGTCCGGACCACAGTATTACTGTGTATCTGTGTAAACACATAGCCAGTCCTTGTTAAAATGGATTAAAATGGCAAAAGATTTATGGTTATGTTCTGTTAAGGGTCAGGGTTGTGCTGAATTAGGGTAGTGGCCCCTTTTTTGGTCCAATTCAGGCACTTGTGTTTTTACTGCATGTATGCAGTGCCGTATGTATTCAGTATTTGTATCTGCCACGCAGTGAGCTCATGGAAGCCAAGCAGACAAGACAAGGCAGCACTCTCTAAACCACTTAGCATTTCAGCTTTTCCTCTTCCATGAGTCACCATTTCCTTCCAGTTTAATGCGAGCCTAAATTATTCATGCCAATCCCCATCAATCCCGAAGCTCTCCAGTCCTTTAACCAGGGAAGTGCCCTCGCGTGGAGGAAGTGCTGTTTGCCACCAGGCTGATTGGACTCTTCTCAGACCTCTACATCCCCCTGCACTCAGGCTGACAGGCTGAAGAGGGCTGGCTTTTCCCAAAGAGGCTCTCAAGTGATCTTGAGGTGAAGCGGGAACAGATCATTCATGAGAAAATTCAAAACCTTTGAAGTGATGGATAGTATTTTTATTTTTCACAGCACACATTTAGATTTGTCCTAATAGTAAAAGCACAGGTGTTTCTAATACCATTAACGATTGTAGTCCTTTTACGGCTGAAAGAATATTAAATAAATAGTTGTTAAAGCTGCATTTTGCTATTGTACTACGATCCCCACTGTTCTGGCTCTGTTTTCATTATGATTTATTGGACTGAAATCATAAAAAAACCTGAAGCCACCAGTGCACATCCACTGAGAATGGACTTTACAGTGAAGTAGGAGACATCTTGTGTCCAGCAGGAACACTTTCAAAATGAACAACATCTTTTAACGTGCAAATTATATGCTTTTTTGCAGCAGAAACATATCGGACACACATTTTTGTTCCAAGCAGACTATTTGTATATGTGTCTTAATACATGGCTGGAGGGGATCTTTAATAAAAAACGTCAGCGAGGTCTTTTGACGAAGTTATACTCTTGGTTGTAAACTAACTTCTTTCTTTAATAATTGAATCGTTATCTTTAATAATTACCACTACATCCCTGATTTGCCCCAGTGCGCTGTGTTTATTGATGAGGCCTGCTGATAAGATGCCACTACAGTAGGAATATGGAGCCGAGTCCAGCACTGATAGAAGTGAGACAGCGGTAACAGCTGGGGATCAGGGTGGGGTGGGTTTGGCAGCAATAAATTATTCCCACCAAGATTTATTTCACTGTGGCACAAGCACAACTCAAATCACCCATACTAATTATTAATGTGCATTTGCAAGGCTGTTCCCCATACATATTAAACTTTAAATTGTACCAGCTGTAAAAGCTGATTACATATGTAAAGAAAACTGCGATAAAAGCTGCCCTGTAGAGTGAACCTTCATCTTAAATGCCTCCTGTCCCTTTAACGACATTTAATGTTCCAAATCTAACGAGCACCTTTAAAGCAGACGCTAATGCCGTGACTAACTGGGCCACTCATGAAACATTTACATATCGTTTCTGATCATAAAACATGAGCTAGATCTCCAGAAGCTCCTTCAGCGGGTGAGTGTGGACTGAAGACCTCTGAGCAGTGAGCTGAGGAGAGCAGGTGGTGTGCTGTGTTCTCCTTAGCAACAGCCCAGGATTGGTCGGTGGCAACACCTTAGACTCTGGGCCGTCCAATCATATGCAAGGGTGTTGATTGCCTTTCAGCCAATTAGAACTCACCAGCTGTTCAATAATTAGTTCTGCCTCAGTGATTGAAGATGTTTATTAGCCCAATTGTAGCTCCTGATTGACATCGATTTCCAGCTTTTCAGCTCATCATTCCTGGTTTGATGAATTCCTGGTGATCAATAACAGTCGGCTTTGTTTTTTCAGATGACTTACCTGCATGGAAACTTGTATATTTCATGTAAAAATAGAGATAATTAGCGATAAGGGCAGTCCATTCAAATATTAGGGAATATATGATTGTGTTCCCCATGAATGAATGTGTTCAGATGAAGAGTGTTCTCTCTGTGTAGAATAAATCAGGATTTGGAGTGCACGAGAGGGAGGGACAGAAATCCAATCATTTGTTTTCCTGATTTCAGGGATATTGATGAACCAACACTATTTTGCACTTGTGAGCTGTGGATGATCCTTTACATTGAACACGTGCATTTCATTAATGCACATTTTTAGATTATTTTATTTAAATTAAGATCGCCTGACTTTTGTGGCATTTTTGACCCTTATGTACCACAACACCAGAAATGTCTTATATGTGAAAACCTTCTTAGCGATCCATCTGTTTTGAATTCTGATTCATTCTTCACTTTTTGTGAAAAATTTCCATCCAATAATTTTGCACACATTCATTAATCTCCCACTATGTCCATCAATTGGTAAAGCCATCGAATGTTCATTGTGCAAGTACTGTACTCCACCTTAATTGTCTAGCTTGAATCCAGACAAGCAGACAGCAACATAATACCGACTTCGTCATAAAAAGTCAAATACAAAATGGAGGAAACAGACAACCAACTGAGGTATTTTTATCACAAATACAATGACTTCTGTATTACTAGGTGCCTTTCTATCTTATTTAGATGACAGTTATGTTTCATAAAATTGAATATTTTTCTTCACAGTGAGCACTGGACATTTATATCACTTCAGCCACGTCCAATTATATCATTCCTCTGTTCTCTGAGCAGGAGCTCTCTCAAGCTTACGCTGGCATGCTGTATTTTCTTCTCAGTTGTTCTCTGCTGTTTAAAGAGCCATTTGAAGCATCTTCTTGTCTCATGGGGCTAATGAATTGCAAATGCTTCCTCCTGTAGCCTTACATGTATATTCGGTTTCTTTTAGGACAGCATTAGCTAAATGGTGCTTTTGGAAACAAGTTGGCAACCAACAGTGATTGAAACTGGGTACATTTACTAAAGTGCTGTATACAAGTGATCTGAGGGTGATTTTTCAAGTTATGCTATTTTATATCTCTACGCCACTATATTTCAGAGGGAAATATTGTACTTACCACTTCCTTTATTTAACAGCCATAGTCGCCTAGTTAGTTTGATTTGACATGTCAAACATGTGATCAACTCATGCAATATGATACATTATCATAGATCAGGATTCCCACGCATCCTGGAAAAGCTGGAAATTTAAACGCCTAGAAATTGATTAAAATGACTGGAAATGATCCATGTTGCTGTCTACATGCATACAGCCTAATAATGATGTATGACAAATTATAACTAATTTCTTGTTGCTGCCGTGGTTGATGAATACATACACAGTGATGTTTAGTGTATGTGCAATGAACACTTTACCTTTCTAGCGGACACATTTTATGTAAAATAAACTAAATTCTACTTGATTTGAACTGTTCCTTCTGGGCTGTGGCCAAATTAATGTAGTCAATCTGGCTGAAACCGCAGTTTATATGACCGTTTGTCCTGTATTGTCAAGAAAAACTCCTGAAAAATGACCTGGAAAGGTACTGGAAAAGGATTTGTTAAAGAGTGGGAACCCTGACAGATGCACACCCAGACAGGTGCATGCAGTTATTGTGGTCAGGCAGGAATCATCCAAAGCTACACGGGGACTTACAAGAGGTCAGCAAAATGAATTAATGTTAGAACGAACAGGAGGGTGAGAGAGGTGTCACACAAGCCCAGTCCGTGCCTGACCACACAGTCCTGAGAAATGGTCTAATGTGGAAAAATAAGATCTATGTGGATGACCATGGACCTCTGAACGGTTTATAAAATAGTTCACTCAACCATAACCAGCTACATTAAAATGCTGCTTAGATGCATCAGTAATAATAATCTACAAAGGTCATATATTATGATATGGAGGGCCCAAAGTCACAAAAATTTAAAAAAGGTGTTTTAAAATCTAAAATCTTTTGCATTCAAATTAAAAACAACATTATTTTTCCCTATAAAAGGGATCGTTGTGTATAATGAAAAGCCTTCTTTTACTTTTGATCCTTAAAGTATATTTTGCTGATTAATATTAATTTCTCATTGTTGTTAGGTGTAGTGATTATAACATTCTGTATTTGACTATTTAATTTTAACTACAGTATTTTATTTATCATTATTTGATTGCGCTACTGATCAGTGGATTAATACATGAAAGAATATCTGGGACTGGGAAGCTACGGGATGCTGCAGAACTCCCATTGTCTCCAGTGACAGATGATTTTGTCACCCGTGGCAAGAATTGCATGTCACCATGGCGATGTCCGTAACAGATCAATTTATTGTTAACAATCACTGTTTTGGTATAGCGTACTTCAGCAAATGGAGTAAAGAAAACACAGATTAAAATAAGGTCTAGCTAACAATCGCAATAAAAAGAAATAAATAGAAAATAATCCGATTAAGGTCTAGTAATTCCATGTTCATATGAATACATAACATCTACAGTATAAGTTAATAAATTGAAGCTACTGTATAAATACATCACCAGCATGCACAATATTGTATTATGGAGAATATTGGAGCAGTTATCATCTTACACTGAAGAAACAGTATAATAGGCAAGTGCATTTCTTGACCAAGAAGAAACTGAAGACAAAGTAAATCCACAAACCTCAAATCTGCTTTTAGAGCTTCCACTTAACATTGCATGTGCTCTGTCCACAAATTATACTTAGTTCACTAATCAAGTCTGTGGGTCCAGGTGCCGTTTCAGAGATCCTACTGATTGTTATGAAGATAGCATAATTGGAGAGTAATGGTTGACTTGCTGATAATGTTCAATCACCACATTTTTTTTAAAATTTCCATTCTTTTTATTTTGCTATCTCGATTTCCGTGAATCAAATCGTTTCCTACAAACATAAGGAGCCAATAGAAGTTGTTATAGTAACGACAATACTGACAATAAGAATTAGGTGTCCAAAAACAGTTAATTTATTTAATAAAGCACATCAGCACATGAGAGGGACAAGCTGCACTAAGTTTACTTTATGAATTTGTATTTTTAGTTACAGTATGACTGTTTGACTGAGCTGGACACATAACCTGACACAAAGCAAAACAAAAACATTTTTTTTATGTTATCTTCAATAACAGAGACAACCTGCTTTTCACTCAACGATCATAGTGTGGTGCAACTAAAGATGTCGGTACGTTTGAAATTACGCGATGAAGTTCGACACCCCTAAAAGCCCGTCTTCATCTCTGTAACCCGTCTTGCTCGCTCACTCTCTCTCTCTTTCTCTCTCTGTCTTTCTCTCTCACTAAGCAAGGCCATTGACATTCAAGGTTACTCTAAATTATCTTGTTGCTCAAGCATCGAAACTCAATTTCTGAATGCTCCACCCCTCACCAAATACAATAAGACAGCTCAGCTTCATTTGCGCGATAAGACCAGTCTCTGCCAGTGCGAAGGTATCGTTACCCAATAGTCACACTGTGATGAATGACATACCTCTTGCTTCTAAAGTGGTATTTTGGCAAATGCTGCAGAGGCTACCAAGGAGGGGGTTTCATTCTTTTATTTTTTGTTTTTTTAATCGTAGGTTATTTCTCAAACTAAAATTGTCTTCCCTCCTCCTACTTTTTTTTTTCACTTTTAATTTGTTGAAAAATAAAGAACAGCAGCCGCGTTAGTACCATCGGTTAAATTGGCCGCCGATGTTCCACCGCCCCCCGCCCCCTCCCTTTTTTTTATTTCTAAGAACTTTTTAACTATTATTATTATTTTGTCATCATTTGTGAGCGCGCGTGTTGTGTTGTTTTGGCAGAATGAGGTTTTGGACTCTTTAGTTGTTGCCCTCTCCTCCCTCGTCGTCCTGCTGGTCGCTCGTCCACAGCGTCAAGTTGTCTCGTAGCAGCTGCATGATGAGAGTGGAGTCTTTGTAGGAGTCCTCGTTGAGGGTGTCCAGCTCAGCGATGGCATCGTCGAAGGCGGTCTTGGCCAGGTGGCACGCCTGCTCAGGGGCGTTCTGGATCTCGTAGTAGAAGACGGAGTAGTTGAGAGCCAGGCCCAGGCGGATGGGATGGGTAGGCTGCATGTGCTCCTTGCTGATCTCGTGGGCCTCGCTGTAGGACTTCTCAGAGGACTCCACCACCGAGGCTCTCTTCTCCCCCGTGGCCACCTCGGCCAGGTAGCGGTAGTAGTCGCCCTTCATCTTCAGGTAGAACACCTTGCTCTCGTGCTGCGTTTCGTTGCAGTTCTTGATCAGGAAGTTGTCTAGGAGGTTGAGCACGTCCTGGCAGACGGCCTCCAGCTCCTTCTCGATCTTTTCCCGGTAGGCACGCACCATCTCGATCTTCTTCTCGTTACCGTCAGATGACGTCTTCTGCTCAATGCTGGAGATGACGCGCCAAGATGAACGCCTCGCCCCGACCACATTCTTATAGGCCACGGAGAGCAGGTTCCTCTCCTCATTGGATAGCGCTTCGTTCAGCTCTGTGACCTAAAAAACAAGAAAGAAAGACAAATGTGCAGACATTAGCATCTTTTTGTTATCTCAATTGTCTTTTATATGTCTCAATAACATTTACCAGCCTGCAATGGGACAGTTATAACCTGTAACATGCGACAATGTATGACCGTTGACACTAAAAAACATGTCAAACTACAGCAATCACACGGTTCAGGATAACATGAACAAAAAAATACAAAGCTGCAACTCTGAAAATTATCACAGAAGCCTCCGGGCAAACTCTACAACACCCAAGGAAACAGTCACAGCATCCAGCCTGGTAAACCACGCCTCCAGCTCACTGACATCATCCCCTGAGGTGACTCCTGATTGGCCGTCCGCAGCTCTGAAAGCTGGTTTTGTTTTGTTTGGACAGGCCTGTGTCTGGCTGGAGGATTTAATCCTTTATACCCCACTGGGACTGTGCAGCAGAGGCATCTTTACAGACCTTTTCTGGGGATAAAGCCTGTTGTTACTTTCTTTTTCAGAACAGAATTCAGTTCCATGAGCACACCAAAGCAGGGGGCCCCGGCCGATCACATGGAACAGCTCTTCACAATGCCCTTACTGAACACTATATCGGCCATCATAAAACTACGTGCTGGGTTTAAACTGGGGTGATTGTGCTGATATCCCTTATGTATTTATATAGGAAAACTAAAGCTGGCTTTATTTCTAAGCTGTTTTGCTTTTGCTATATTTCCCCAGAAAAAACTACAATAATAAAATATATATTTTATATATATATATATATATATATATATATATATATATATATATTAGCAATTAGATAATGCTGGCTCTTAAATTAATTGAGGCTCAGTCCCTTAACAACAACAAAAGAACAGCTTCCATTTATGGGTAAACACGGCTATTGCTCTGGCTAAACTGCATGTGTCTGCATCACGGAACGTCTTGCTTTCAATTTCGGCTCCCATGTTAACGGGTTAGAGTTAACTGCCTGTGTGAGCCATGCGTCTCATCATGCTTCACTAGAGAGTTGAGGCCTATTTTTTCTGTGAGTTGCGCACAATTACCAGCAAAAATAGACAGTAAAAATGATATGTTGATATATCGACATTATACCAGCAACGTATACACCTTACACTACATCACTCAATGTCTGTATCTGTAGAATATGTCACAGACGTGAAAAAAAATATTGTAATGCGATATTTGGTTTTGTGATATTGTATCCTTCTTAAGAGCATGTATAATAGTTTCCATGCTCGCCATCTTAGTTTTGGCATGTTAGCATGCTAACATTAGTGGTTGACTGAGCTGGGCTGATGGGAATGTCTTTAATTTTACAGCTATTTGGTCATAAACCAAAGTACTGGACAAAGTAACATTTTGAACAAATGATGGGGCTATATGAACAGTACAGTTTATCATGAATGTCTGTAGCCAAAGTCATAGCAATCCATCAACTGCTGAGACATTTCCCTCACAACCACAAGTCAGAGGATCACCAAAGTCATAGGGATATATTATCTGGGAACTATGAATTTCAAAATGTTGTGGCAATCCATTTAGTCGATGTTTAAATATTTAACAAGATGAAAAGTCAGGGAATCATCCAAGTTATTTGGATTCATCCCCTGGGGAACATGAATGTCTGTACAAAGTTTCATAGAAATCCATCCAATAGATATTCCTATCTGGACCAAAGTGCTGGACCGACAGACAGACTAACATTGCCATCCATACTGACATGGTAGTGTGGCTAAATATAGTAGGATTTTTATTATTCTGACGTTTTATTTCAGTTAAGTCTGTCTTCTGTGTTTGTGTATCCTCTCCTTTGCTTTTGCCTAACCACCCAGGTGGTGTTGCACTCCACTGCCGCAGTGATAGGCAGCCAGGTCTCCTCTGTAACTTTTTAATCACATAATAAGACAAATATTCCCTGGAGGTTGTAATGGATAACAAGTGTACGTGCAGCATCCTCAACACATGGCAGAGCCTCAATGTCTTGCTCAAGGACAGAGAAGCTTAAACCTGTGACCTTTGAGGTGCATCACAGTCACTATGAGCTAGCAGCTGTGTCATTCTGCTTTGGTTTGAGTCCAGTAACACACAGTAGCTGTTAATCCCTGTTTCAGTTGTTGCTACAGTCTCTATTCATGCAAACATATGACTAATCATGTGTTCATCTGATGAACTCATTCTCAGCATACATAAATCCTTATATGCATCTACACCCATCTCTCACGCTCAGTGGTACATAAAGTAGCAATCACAGTTCAACAGACGTGACCTTCCTCTTTAATAACATTACTTTAACTGTAAAAGGGGAGCGAGTGGAGGGCAAAGAGCAATCAGTGATGCAATCTCATGTTTCCATGGCAACTGCAAAATCTGCTTTGTTTGTGAGCCATACTATCCGTGCTGGGGACACTGGCCACAAGTGACTAATGGCGAGGATGCTGACATGGCTGATGGTATGGAGAAAGCTGCAGCACTGTGGGTGGAGATGAGTGCAAACAAGCCATTTCATATTTCACACAACTCACACACTGGGAGTCGGCCCTTGCAATGTCCCTTCCATGGCTCAGTACAGGACACAAAGGAATCAAAAGCAAACAGCCGGCACATCAAACAGAGGGACTCCAAATCCACAAGCATCCTTTTCAGTTTGATTGTGATCCAACCTTGCTAACGGCATGCAGGCCCTGAGGATGGTGATGCTGCCCAGAGGACTCCATGAGCCTCTCCTCCATCAGCCCAAATTTTCAACACTGTGTCCTAAAATATGGAACACTGCTAAGTACATGTGCATTCAATTCTAAATGTTGGCATGTTTAGACTCCCTATTAATGGTCACCAGAGGATGGTTGGGTTGGTCGTTTGAAGCCAACACTAGGCTAAAAATCTTTAAGGCAGATTACCATAAAATGTACTAATAAACCACCAATGTCCCACTATCCCTTACCTTTTTCCTCTGGTGAAACCCTGAGACCAAATCCTCATCTTGGTCCAAATGTAATTTTAAGTTTCACGTCCCCACAAGAAGAAAACCTTTGAATTTGGTCATCCTATGACTTTGAATATGAATATGATGTGGGCCACTAGCAGGACTGTGTAGAATTTTGTGCACTAAGGACAAAGACGTCGTAAAACTTTACAACTGACATAAAAAAAAACGACCCCTGGACTGGAAGAGTATGAAGACATGCAAACAATAAAATGACATCAGTTGCATAATGGTGAAAGTCACCCCCACCCCCCACCATTAGTCATTGCTGTAGCACAGCCTCAACTCTATACCGCTCTATACTATAGCCCATTAAATAACACTAAGCGTAAACTAGTATCTGACCTAAAGCGAATGCAACCAGTGGAGTAGGTCAGTGCCGGAGCAACAGAGAGGTCAGAAAAACAAGGCCTAAACAGCACGTCTGTAAAAACATGGCAGCCTTTGTTTCAGAAGGCTGCAGGGTGAGCAGAAAGCCCTGACGGAAGCTGTGGTGCAGGGATGACAATAGAGCTCTGTCTACCCATAAAGCTCATCAATCGCGCCTGCTCTCTCGTGACTCATCCTTGCACAAGGCAGTCAAACTTCCAAACAACTGAGTGTTAATACAAACAAAGGCCAGGCAGGACAATCAATAATTTACTCTTTGACAGCTCTCTGCATGGCCATTAATATCCACAGGAGAGACACAGTAAGAGCAGCAGGGCTGGGTGAGTGAGAGGGTATGTTGGGCCTAAGTAGTGGCTGGGTTAGACCTCAATGCCCGCCGCCTTACTTTTACATTTAATGGATTACAGTTCACATAATGGAGGCCTGCCACAGTCCCACAGCTCCTCATTTTTCTTCCTGTTCCACGCTTTCCTTCTGTCTTTTCCTTGCTCATTTGCTTTCACTCCCCGGTCCCTCCTAACCTGATGTGACAACCCCCCTGCCGACCCTCTTTCAGGCAGCAGAGCACAAAGGCGCCGTGGACTACCTGACGTCACTGGTGGTGTGAATAGGGTTAGAGCCTGGCGCTAAGAAAAGGGGGATGCGAGGCAGTGTATGTGCGCGTCTTAGCAATGGTGGCGGAGAGGGAGCTTCAAGTGGCTCTTTGTTGCTACGCTACAACATATGACAGTAGTTTTTCTGTGATTACAACCGATGTGCTCCTCCAAAAATAAAACACGTAAAAGGGCTGATCACTCGAAAGGAATGAGAAAGATGTGTAGACCTAATTAGGCTACCGGACTGGTATGGAGAGAGGCCAAACACAAGTTGATGTTAGCTGGGGCCTCTCTGTTAGTACTAGTTCTCTGATGTGACAAAACAGGACAGAAAAACATACAATGTGAGCAAAAGTGAAAGTAAAAACTATTACTAACCTATTACATGCTGGCACATGTGTCAAATATTACTCAGTGAGTAAGTAGTGGCTTATTTAAAAAAGAAGTGGTGTTAAGTCCACAAGATGTTCAGCCCACATTTGATCCAGATCTGACTGAAAATAATATTACATTATTTGTTTAAATTAATGAATACTTGCTATACAATTACTACAAAGCAATTAGGTGAATAAAAACAAATGACAATCTTGGTTAAGTTTCTTTAATTTCTTCATTTCCAGATCACAGTTTGGAGGCAGCGCAGACTCATCACTTACTGGCTAGTGGTGTTCCTTACAATGACAGTGCCGAGATTATTGTGTAATTGCATTACTAATAATTTGTTCTAGACGGCCTCAGGGACACAGACTGGCACTTTTGTTTTTAGGGTTGGTGCATCTTCTAGCTATCCTGATCTTGTCAAAAATCATTCTGTTCATACTTTCCAGGTCTGTAATAATTCTGTTAACTCATTCAGGGGCATGAAATCCCAAACAAATAATCCTCATCATGCTGTTCAAGCAATAAAGCAACAACTGCTACAAACATGAAATGTGCTATCAATTGATATTTCAAACCATGAACTAAGACGACGAAACACAAGAACCGAACTTAAACCAAATAGGGGAGAAATTAAAAAAAAAACGTTT